GGAGGGGGGGGGGGGTGTACCTTGCTCGGGGCCGAACAACGTCGACCGCCTGCACCACAGAAATTCGATACTCCTCGGAACCACGGAACCGTGAGTTATATCCCGCTCATCTATATTCTAACTTGTTCCAATTTCCAATTCCACAGGTCAGAAGCATCGGCGGCGGGGCCCCGAACACACCGTAAAAACGGCGTCGGTGCTCGACGGCGCGCGGTCTCCGAGGACACGCACGAAATACACATGTATCCCCGGCTTCGCGCGCAAATAAATCATACTCGCGGGAACATTCCTTGCGGTCCGTTAACCCTCGTTCATCCCTCGTTCATCGGTTCGACGTGTTTATTCCATTCGTTTCGTCCGAGCTGTCCGTTTCACCCTGCTGCGAGCCTCGAACGAGCTGAAATAACATTGAGATTGAAAGAACGCGAATATTAGCAATAACGATATTTTTACAATTTCTTCACAGAGATCGTGGTATGGATGCAATAATGAAAGTATAAACAGCTCGAGAAAATTGCATAAACAGGATTGAGTATACAGGGTGGGGCATGGATAACTCGCTTGTATTTTGGACAATGGAGAAGAAAAATGTCAGATAAAAATGCTGCGACCTTGAATGAGTTTCGTATAGTCATTGTATTCGTCTTGAAAGGCTCTATCAGAATGTGAATCAAAAATTAGGTCGTCCTGTTTAAAAGACAAGTTTGACCTTCGCGTGTCCTCTACGCCTTCACGTATAACAAAATTATTGACGTCGTATTATGCGCCCCGAGAAATGAAACGACTTTTGTCTGACACTTTTTTCCCAATTGTCGAGAACAAGCGAGTTATTGCCTCTTTTCAAATGCCCTACCGCGTATATAAATATCTATTTTTAATAAAAGAAACATAATTGTCCCTATTGTGTTGATTAAGAATATGGCGCAGCGCCTGTTAGAATTAGCGAGAAATATTTTAATATTTTAATTTAATATTAATAATATAATAATATAATATATATTATTATATGTATAATAATATAATGTAATATTAATAATATTTTAATATTTGAATTTAACATTTGACTATTAGAATTTGAGGCAAATTTTGTAGCGATTTATTGCAACTAAAGCTTGCAATCCTAAATTAAAAGGTTATGTCAAGGTACACGTGTGCAGTGTACATATATCGCGCGTGTACGATACGCAAAACGTTTAATGTTTCATTGGATCGCAATTGGCTCTGTTGTTGCTCAGAGTTTCCTCGTAGATTTTCATATCGTTCAACAACTCCTCGTACGGTTGATCCACCGTGTCAGCTAATTCCGAAGATCTGTTTAAAATAACGAAAATTAGCGTGTGTAAGTAATTTTAGTAATTTCTAAATAATTAATTATTATTCACATGTCGGCGGTCCCAATGTTGCAAAGCTTGCAAGTTCTAGTCGCCGCGAGCGCTGCTTTATCCAATCCGTGTTCGCGGAATAGTTTCAGCTGATCTTGCCACATTGTTTTCGTTAAGTTCGACGGTTCGTTTTGTTCTTCTGTGCCGATTTTACCTGAAAGTTACCGTAATCGTGAATTAAATTAAAAATAAATCTCTACTACAATAGAATAGATATAATAAAAAAGATATCACTTATATAATGCAGCATAAAAATTTAGGAACGTTATTAGACAATAACAACAAGTGGAAAGTTATTCGCAGTCGAATTCGGTTCTAAAGGATAACCTAAAATCGCGACGGTCACCTTTCGGCACAGTGTACGGCTTCAATCGAGCCTCCGAGTCAAGAAAATGCCAAAATTCTTTTACTTTAGCTTGTTGGCTGTAACTGATCTTTTTGTCGAAAGACAATTCCATGCAAATTTTATCAGTACGCGACATAATGTACGAATAATACTGCTCGAACTTTTGAACGAACGAACGTCAGTTCCGGTTCAGATATCTCTAGATTGGAAAACACATGTGAATCGGTATCTAGGGAATTTCAATGCTCTCGGTGGGTAACGCAGATTTTCTACACAAGTTGAGTATTTATTATGATAAAACATTAAACGAATAATTTTACTAATATAATTTTTCGTTTAATCGATTCGAATTTGAAAAGATATATTTTCACAGATTTGTTTGAATTACGCCGAAGTTAATTTTCTAACGATGTTTCCACAAATCGATAAAACAGGAAGCTCCGCACTCGTCGTTACCGATAGTTCGTAAATTCGAGCACGTTACCAAGAGAGATATTAAAAAATGTATACTTGTTCTTCTATAAAACAAACAAAATTACGTTTACCGCTTTGTTCAACAGTAATATAAACGGTAAAAGATGCCGGCACATTTAAAAAAGTATTTCACAGAATTTTAAAAAATGTATAATTTTATACGGACATGCGCACATGCTTATGATTCTATACTATAAAATTAATTTATAAATAAATAATAAATTAAATAATTAAATAAATAATAATAAATTTATAACTAAATATTATTAAAATGAAAAAGATGTTCAAAATTTGCGTGATTCGACGGTAAGCAGATTTTATGAGAAATCTCTATGTTTCCGGCTGTCGGTAACGTTGCACAGAATTCGTGTTAGAAAATCGAGAATAATATGGAACCGATGGAACTGCATCACGCGATTGGTCTATTCGATGTTTGGTCTGTGGCGGCAGCTTTCAAAAAAATTCAGTTACGCTGATCGCAAAAAGGCCAGGACAGCTTGTAAACGGTCGGTCGGAGCAGGTTTATCGTCTCGATAAACGAGCAACGTCGTGATGCTTCGACAATCGGCCCCGCGTGGGTGTGGTTTCCGAATAAATTGAATATCACGGAGGAGAAGAGAAGAGAGAAATGAATTCACCGTACGGACGACGGTGATGTCATTGCCCCGACAGGTTATGAGCAGTGCGCGGCGACGATGTCAAGATGGCTGCCACGTACATCTGATCGGAGGTGTGTGCGCTCGCGAAATTCGACGCCGAACCGCGATAAAACGGGCCGTGCATTTCAACTCTCTGACATGTTGACAGTGCGTAGTTAGGTCGGCCTGTATCCATGAGGACCACTTTGCACGCTATCGATGAAAGTTCTCGTCGTCGCGGCCGGCGGCGGCTCGCATTGAATCATGTTCAGCAAAAAATTACATGTAGACGTCAAAAAGTCAACACTGAAAATTCAAGATGTTAAAAAGGATAGCGCGACGCGGTTCAAGCATCTCAAGATCGTTCTAGGTGAGCCAGCTGTTCTCTTGTCCACCGTTCGTCGCGTCCTTTCGTTGTTAGACGTTCCGAACGTTAATTCGTTCCGTTAAGACATTAACCGCGAATAACCAGTTTTCCCAGCTAATGAACACGACGACGGCTAAAGAGGGGCGACACAATTTTGTTAGGCATTTGCCGCCTACGCGTCAACTCGCCGAGACGTTATTGACGTTATCGTAGACTTTTACGAAATCCGATGGAAATTCGAATCGATGAATTCCTTCTACCGTCCATCGGGGATACACTTGGTCGTTTCCAGTCGTCAGCTGTTGTTACAATGTTACAATATTCTTTTTTCTTTTTTTTTTTCTTTAGAAACGCGCACGGCGATCTGGTTCGTCAAAACTGTAAATTATGTAAATTGAAACGGACAAAATCGAGTCGACGTGTTTTTCAACGATAATGGCCGTTATTATTTGTTGACTGTGAATTTCTAATTTTCTAAATTTTTCTAAGAAATAATTTTCACATTACAAGAACATTATTGTCGTATGCTTTGACGAGGAATTAATGGAGCCAACTTGTATGCAATTAGAATTATAATGGTCGTAGTATTCATAGGTGGTCGGTATCTAATCACCAAACCGCATGACCACATTAACCAACCTACCGTGGCCTCCGGTTCTGTCTAATGTTACATTATTATTATTATTAGTATACACAGACAGAACTGTGCCTTCAAACGTGGTCACGCTCGACTGTTGAATAAATTTATATTGCACCCTGTTTCTAATTAAAATTTCAAATAGTTATGTATTATTTGGGAAGGTGAATTGAAAATATTTTGTTGAATACGATGAAAATAAATTTGACTTATGATTATTATTATTATTATACATTGACACATTATATTGACATTATTATTATTATTATTATTATTATTATTATTATTATTATTATTATTATTATTATTATACACAGACAGAACTGTGGCTTCAAACATGGTCACGCTCGACTGTTGAATAAAATTTATATTGCACCCTGTTTCTAATTAATAATTCAAATAATTATATATTATTTGGGAAGGTGAATTGAAAATATTTTGTTGAGTATAATGAAAATAAATTTGACTTCCGACCTTCAACTCTGTATTTATAGCGTACTGGCTAATTGTTTAGAGCTTGTATGCATAAACTCTTCTGTTGATTTGCATTGTTATGGTTATAGCTAATTACGCTTCAAGAAAGAATTCCCAAAAATGTGGAAGAAAATATAGAGCTATACTATACGTATAAGCATGCATATACAGTATCAGCATAAAACCCATTATGATGTCATAGCTCTTTCTATGAGACAAACCTTTTTATAGAATTGGAGGTTTGACTATTTTCGTTGAATTCATAAATGTGATATATTCGTTTGTAATATCTACGTTACAAATATTTATGCACTTAAAATATTGCAAAACAATAGAAAATGGACTTGTATGTATTAATTGTTGAAATCTTTTAAGAGTAAAATAAATTATCTTCTTTGCATCACTTTATTATCAATTTCCTGTAAAAATATGTGTCTACGATTTAGTAGCAATGTAATAATACGTATAATTAAAACTAGAATGAAAAGAAAATCAAAATTAACTAGGAATGAAGAAAAAACTACAAATTTTAATGAATCAATGTTTGATACATAATGTCCGTGTTACAGAAAATGTGGATAACGATGAAGCGAAAGGATTTTTTGAAGGCAACTTCAGCCATGTCTATTTTATTCTTTATGACTGTTTTGTCTCGGCTGAAGCGAATCTGCGGCAGAGAGGTAAGATCGTCTATAGATACGCAACAATTTAGATCTTGAAAATGTAAATTACAACTGCATTGCATATACATGTGGATATGATTGCGATATCTATTTTCTATCAGTGCAACCAAATGCAGTTTTATTTTATAGAAGTATTGAATGTGTGAAAATGAAATATCATTTTTGTATTATCCCCGATATTATAATTATTTTACTATTTGCTTGTTTTCTCTCTATTTTGCTGTCAGAACTTTCCTTCCACATTGGTGAGTAAAAGATGAATGAATATATACATACATGTCCCAAGCATGTCACAGTTTCATTAATCTGATCAGTGTGTGTCCAATTCTACGAATACATACATATCCTTTAGTATAACTGGCATGTGCTTAGGATACTTATGACCCGGTGCTATTTTTATTATTTTTAGTCTGTTGATAAAATATAGAATGAAAATACCGCAGAAAGTGCGATATACGTTTAGTAAACAAACTTTCTTTTTTCTTGTAGTCCATAAAGCGCATAGGGAGGAATTGGAGCAGGTACTGCAGCTCTTAGAGAAAGTTCTGACCCTTCTACCCGAGCTTCTTAACAGGAGATGGCAGTGTCACAGTTTGGCAAGGATTTTGCAAAAACTTTTACACCCTGGTAATAGTTGGAAACTTCGTAGACAAGCCATAAGGTATGCAAAAGGTTCTCATCAATTATTTCAAATAGCGAAAATATCAAATTCATTATTTAGGCAGACAGTTGCAAAAAGAATAGAAATCAATTTTTCATTGATTAATTTCTACTCGATTATAAACGATTGTGTTTCATTCAAATTTATCCTAGGTATTTCATTTTATGGTACCAAGCACTTGGTGAAAATGCACCCGATCATATACATCAAATGTTTGCAAATCTGGTACCAGGGTTTCCACCCCAACAGCCATCCCCCTATAAATCTGAACGCAAGTCGGATGGAAGGAATAAACATGCGAAAGTAATTGGCAGCGATGATAAAGATAAGAAGGAGTTTTACGATACACAATTGTCACAAAGTACGTTGCATGACAATGGCTCGAATCAGTGTCCGGTCACTCCCGTTGACAGTGGACCTATTCTACCTCCGCAAAGTGGGGAAAAGCCTCTTGATAATGAGACTGTCCGATTTTTAGAAGCACTACTTGAATTTATGGTTACTCAGGTATGTTTACATTCGCATTTCTTACAATTTTTATATTGCATTATTTATTAGTACGCTTACTCTAAAGCTTTCTTTCGTACGAATTACAGGTTGTAAAAATAGAATGGCGGGATAAAGCTTCACGACAGCACAAGACTTTCCAGTTTTTATTAGAACGTTTTAAAGCTACGTACCTTCGTTACATTTGTCCCGAGTTCGACGATAATTTCTCCTTGTACAAACCTAATTTAGAATTGCCTATGATGCGTAAACCAACGAATCAAAGTCAGGATAATTATGTTCTGTGTAAAGTCGCGTTGATCAAGTGGGTCGCTAGTTTTACGCATGTTGCTAGAAAAGATGGTCTCTTCGCACATCTTTCGCACAGGTATTATAATTCAATCATAAACAGTTGATGTTGTGAACATATACCGCAGGGTGTTATCTCGGTGTGTACCTATTTTTAGCACAACTCCGAACGAAGAAAACGCGGAGTCGGAGCTACGTCGTGTCTCGGTTACACAAAACTCGGCTGATTCAACTTTGCTGTCGCCCGAATCGACTGTGTCGCAACAGGAAAATCAAAATCAAGAGGACAACACCGTCTCGGCGGTTACTCTTGTCAGGGAGGTTCTTTACGGTAACAGAGACAACGTGAATTTTGTACATGAGTTATATAGACAAGCATTCCTTTTGGACTTCAATCATGCCGGTGCTATCAGAAAGGCTATAGCCGTTTATAAAGATTGGATTCAGATGAATGTGAGTAAACGAGCAAGCGTTAATATTGGTCTGGTAATAATTAATGTCGTTTTTGTAAAATACATCTTTAAAACTAATTTATTTAAGCAAAACAAAACAATTTAATCAACGATACAGTCGCCGTTGTTTTCAACTTGTGCCCAACGCTCAGGTTAAAAACAAGCTCAGGTAAACGAACGACACTAAGAAACGACACTAATCATTACTAGACCTAATAAAGTGTTGTTAATAAAGTCGAGGTTGTTAATATACTCTTGGATTGTTATGTTACCAAGGAGCTTCCTCCGTTCATGTTGGAACCATTGGATACACACAAGGACAGAGATATGGAAGACAACTTCAGGAAAGATGGGAACGATTTCGACAGAAGTCCGTCTGAGTCTTATCGTCAAACGAGATTGAGAAATGATTCGTACCTCGGTGCTATACACAGAGAGAACTTGTTTATTAGAGCGGGATTGCAGAATGTTCTACAAGTATTCATCACGCAGGCTTCGAACGTGTTTTTCTTAGAGAATTACGGATCGAACGCGTCCATGACGCTGCTCGAAGAACAAACGGACAGCTGTAAAAGAGTGTTGAACGTGTACCGTTACGTCGTTATGCATTCTAGATTAGAACCGGGCACTTGGGAACAATTGCTTAGGTATACCGCGTCATGATTTACGACGCTTTAGAGATACTAACATTTCAAGTAACTAATTTCATCGTTTCTTCGTTAGGGTATTGCTGCAAATAACGTCGCTCGTTCTGAACGAGAAGTCGTCCCGGCGGAAAGTTCAAGAGAGCATCGGCGGCAAACTCGCGCCTGCCATATTTCAAACCTTAATCGTCACGTGGATCAAAGCCAATTTAAACGTTATCATTTCTACCCAGTTGTGGGATCAATTCTTAGAGGTGTTGACATCTTTGACTCAATGGGAGGAATTAATTCGAGAATGGGCTGTGAGTAATAATTAGTAGATATAATTAATATGATAATATAATATATAATAGTATAAATATATATATATTATATAGTAATAATATATAATAGTAATGATGGTCTATTTCAATAATGCTTTTTTATAGAAAACACTGGACACTTTAACAAGGGTACTCGCCAGGCACGTGTACAATCTGGATCTAAATGATCTACCATTGGATAGACTAAGTGAGCAAAAGACTAAAAAGCGTCGCGGTGTTGGAAGTCGCGCCGCGTCCACCGGAAGTGTCCAGCCACCGCGCAAAGGAAGCGTCGACCAAGAGAGTCATACGGTCTCGAAAGAAAATGTTATTGGTATAAAGTAGCGATAATATTTTCCTCGAATTGTATTAGATGTACCAATGAAGCAGCCACTATTTTGTTAGAAAGATAAAACGGTATAAAATATGAATTTAAAATGTCTTCTCTCTCTCTCTCTCTCTCTCTCTCTCTTTCTCTCTCTCTGAATCGAACGGAAAATAGTGAACAAGATGTTGGTACACCTAATAAACTGTTTCTGAACGGCTCTAAATCTTTTCATTTCGAACAGATCACCCAATGCGAGATTTGAGGAAGGTACGACCTCTTCCACGTAGCGCGAGTGATAACACGATATACAATGCGAAAGCTCGTACAAAGCTCCACAGAAACCGTACTCACACTGTACACAGTGGCATTCCTGGTAAATATCTTAGTTCACACAGAGTTACTCTTTCTCTCTCTCTCTCTACTTTCTCTGTCACTCTCTCTGTCTCTTTCTCTCTCTCTAATTCGGTCGAATTCTGGTGACTTTTGCAATTCGGTAGTGCCATCTGTGTTGCTGATAGCGCGTGCAAATTTTATTTATAACTATGTCTCTTACTTTTTCGCTTGGACGCTGACACTGGTTTAAAAATAACCAGCCAGTCTAGTGTCAGCCGGACACTTGTCTCGTCTCCATTCTTTCTCCCCCCTTCATCCCCCCGTCATTCGCAATATCGTCTTCCGTGCGCTTGCTTTCCTTCTTTCAGTCGACGAGAACGTCAAATGAGAACCATCCGACACAGATATACATTTCTCTCGTACGTTTGTGGCTTATTTGTGTGTATTAAGTGTGAACAATTTCCACACGCGCAGTACTGCCCCTATCGATAGAGCAAGACATGGCACGGTTGCTATCAAGCGGCACGGCATCGTCGTCGTCGGGACAAACGAGGAAAATGTTGCCTAATAGACGTGCTAAATCCTTGGATAGCCTTGTCATTGTTGATAGCGAACCGCCGTCGCCGCGGTGCCCGTCTCCGACGCCAAGCAGCGGGGTTGACAGCAACAAAGACAGCCCCATACAAATTGAAAACATTGACGGCAGCAGCATCGGTAAGTAGTCTTGCAGCTCTACCCGCAATACGATTACGAGAACATGATGTACAGAGTGTCCCGTAAATATCTCGCGATCCGAAAGTAGGAGGTTCCCGAGATCATTTGAAGCAACTTTTTCCTTTGCGAAAGTGTTCTCCGAGGCTTCGTTTACGAGTTATCAACGAAAAACGCTGACCAGTGAGTGATCACGGACGGCTGACGCCCCGCCCTCGCGACCACTGCCGCCGCGTCAGCCGGCCGGCGCGACGCGGCATTGGCCGCAGGGGCGGAGCGCCGGCCGCACTCGCGCACCGATTGGTTAGCGTTTCTCGTTAATAACTCGTTAACGGTGCGTCGGAGAAAATTTTCGTAAAGAAAAAAATTGCTTCAAATCACCTCGGGAATCAACTACTTTCGGATCGCGAGACATTTTTCGGGACACCCTGTACATTTTTTTAAATCATAACAGCGTGTAAGCATTCTCATAAATCATCGATGTAATACTAACAAAGATATACATATACATACGTATGATTCGCTCGATAAACAATTTGTATCACACGCTTCGCTTACAATTTCTGCGAATTAACTATATGCCCCGTCGTATGTCGAGGAATTTGTTTTCTCTTTTTATACGGACAATTCGACACACTTGTAATATTGTTTCCGTTTTATAGTGAATATGTGTACGAAACGAATATAGGTTTGTAGAAAGTTTTAGGAAAGGATCTTTCATTGAAATAAGTAATTCCATTATCGTTCGCAGACACTAATGATGCATCGGAAAGAAGATCTGTTATGGCAGGTGGTGGAGTTCGGGGATGGTTGCCAGACGTGGCGGTGGTATTATGGAGACGTATGCTGTCGGCATTAGGAGATGTAAATAACATTCAAGATCCCATTCTTCATGGTCAAGTGATGGACTACCTTGTGCAGCTAACGCAAACACTCATAAAAGTTGGTACTTGCTGGATCACAGGTTATCACAATTATCGAAGGCATTATAATGAAATAAATATTATTACTTCTTCTTTTTTTTTTGTATGAAATAGATTCGTTTAAACCAAGGCGTGTCTGGAGATAATCAAGCGACTCCTCCAGCTCCAGAACTCATACCACCGTTAACAGTTATCGCCCCATGGTGTTTCAAGGTTGTTAGTATTTACTGAATATAATACACTTGAAAAAAGAAAAGAGATGCTAATTAAACGAATTACACACGCTTTCAGGCGATACAGCTTCCTGCACAGTTCGAAGTTGGCAAACTAGCGGCATATCGTTTGATTTGCCTTTTAACAATCCAGCCACAGGACATCAATTTACCAAAGCAACACCTGACTCTGTTTTATCGCGCGGTTCACAACGGTATCGTCAGCAACGACACCAAAGTGCTTCACGTGCTTGTTAAGTATACGGGCCCAAGGTTATTCAGTTTGAATCTTCCTGGCTCCAGTCTGTTGATCTTGGACTATATCCATGCCGCTAACGTTATATTAAGCAGCCAAGACATTGGGGTACCGTAGAATCTGCAATAATTTAATTGTACAATAATATATATAACTGTGGAGATATAAATAATAAAACTATTCTAGGCGCCAAGGACAGAAGCTGTCTCCATAATTGGATCGCTATTGTCGTTGCCTGCGACTACAATTAAATTACCGGTACTGCAACCCACTGCAACAGATATTGTAACCATGACGTGCCCGGACGCAAAAGTAATTCGATACATGTAGATAACACGAATTTGTGAACACATTGTATGTTATATGAATTGTTTTTATTTTTAGGAGCATATAATTACGATACTCCTGAGAAGCTGTAGACGCGAGCCGACTGGCATTGCAAGATGCGTAGCGCTGTCGAGCATCGCCATGTTCGTTTACAGGGAACTATGTTACAAAAATCAACACCCGAGAATCCCGGAATCCGTTACGGTTCTCCTTTTAGCGCTACGGGTAAGATTCTCGAGTCTGTTGTTCCATGGTCAAATTAAATTCTGTTCGATCAGTTTCGTTTTAGAGGAGTCTGCATGTCATATATATATACATATATATTTATCTAAATTAGATCACATTAGTTTGTGCACTTGGGACATAAACATTTTCATTGAGACAGTGTGCGCTATGTAGTATATTAATAGAATTTTTAGTTGCGATTTCATAGGTGGACTTGCCTAACAATATTTCCGTTAAATGTAGTACATGTCGTAGTAGTAGTGAAAAATTCAGTATCTCTTCCACTGAGTCTGATTGACAGCGGATGCAGGGGACAGAGCGTCGCAGAGCCGGTTTCTGTTTCCCATTAATGGACCAGGTAGTTTATATTCTTGGATTAACAAATCTCTGTCGAATCCCCTTATTATGTGTTGTTACAGTATTATACCTGTCGACTGATGTCTACGTGTCTTCTTTAAGGATGTTGTCAACATTGCATGGTGTTTTATTTGCACGAACATGTGTCTGTAAAATGTCCAACGATATTTTAATGTTCGGTCTTCATTTATTCCCATATATATTAGTGATTAACGTACTTTCTGTTTATAATACTAATTAGAGCCAACGAAAAAAATATTAACTCTAGAAATACCAGACGAAGTAATGAAAAAAACGCTGCTTAGGTTATATCATGAAGTTGAAGTTATGAAATGAAGAAAAAAATTCATTATTTGTGTGTACGTTGTAATAAAAGTTGTGTCGAATCACACAACGAACGTACGCGAGAAATTATTTAAACAAATAAAAAATGAGTTTACTCGCTGCATGGTACTTCTAGCGTTAATTGAATGTAAACATATTAAAATAAAAAAAATTATGCTTATTATTATTTAGGCCAGTCATGCCACCGTAGCCCAAGTGGCGTGTGATTCTCTCTTGCTATTATGTGATAAAGCTGATATCCTTTTGGAATTGTATCCAAATGTGCCATCGAAAATAATTCAGGTATGTTCTATTAAAAATTTGTAGTTGTCCAAATTGTGTACAAGTCCAACTAGTGTAACATAATCTGATATTTCTATTCCAGATTTTATCAGAAACGCTTGGATATATGAGTACACGAGACAGACGCGGTCAGTTGATAATATCAATGTTGTTCTGTTTGGGTGAATGGGCCATGCAACTAGGCCCGAGTGTCTTGCTACGTGTGTTTCAGGGGAAACCATTGTTAATGACACTATTCACTGTTAGTATTTTTAGACACACGAATGAAGCAACAATTCTATTCTCTCGCACAACTAATATGTTATGTCACTTGTGTACAGGTTTTGGATAATATAGTACAAGATAAAGGTGGCAAAGGATTATTACAGCCAGGCAGAAATCACGAAGACGAAGACGACGACTTCGATCCTGATATCACTTTGGACAATTTGGCCGATGAGACCAGCATAAAATCTCCTCGCAGAGGCAATATCCAATCCGTTCAGCTGGCAGCAAAAATGGTAAAATATTACAGACGCTTCTCTACCCGAAGCATGAATTTTACATGAAACTTGAAATTCTAGGTAATGATGCATTTAATAAATCACTTGGGACACTTCCCGATGGGCATTGGAGCAGCTCGATTGTCCTCGTTGGTCGTCGAACTGGACGACGTGCCGGGAATCGATGGCGACGAATTGTCGTCCGCCATCTTTCATGCGCCGAACATGCAATTACTGATGTTATCGAATTCCGTGATAATGTCGCTTGTTGAATTGGCAGCGTTGGACGCGCCCGGCGGCGGTGTCACCGCTGGATTAACAACAGCGCCGTCGTTGGTGCGAGTTTTGTTAAGAGACTTGGCGGGGAAGGCTTCGTGGGACAGCTCTATCTTGTACAGTCAACCATCTATTGACGATGATATTCCGATAGCATTTACAAAGCACGGTAACAGAGAGATCTAGCGGCGATTCAGTCGGCTCCGTTTCGGTTTAATGCATGCGCGTCTCCGTTTTAGTTGAATGGAAAACAAAGCCGCACAGCGAGGACCTGAGCAGCGTTATAACGTCGCAAACGTGTACGCCTCGACACACGGTACGACACCGTGAACCTCATGTGTTGCCTACATTCGCGAACGGTGCAAGTGATATGGATAACCTAGATGATGTAAGGTTTGATCTTTAAATAGCTTTAGAGACATCGATGTCGATAGCAACAGTGTGCCGGTATCAAATGTATATACTTGATATTTAACGTTTCTATTCTCAGCTCTTACAGTACATAGGACACACGAGTCCAGAAGTATTAACCAATCCAGAGATTGCGCTTAACGAGCCGGCAAATCCTCCCCAAGGTTACTACCTCGAAAGCGAAACAATTGCGACCATTCTCAGTCAGAGGAACGCAGAACAAGAGCATATCAACAATTGGAATCAGCATATTAGGTAAATCGCGTCCGAGTAAAATCGTTGTTACTCTCAATTAGATCAGTTACTATTTTTTTTATATTGTCGTCATTTCCAGTATGTGTGCCTCAGCAATAAGCCCGCCTTCTTGTCGTCCACCTCCAGCACCGTTTCATCACTGCCGCCTTCTGTTTTCGCATTTGGGTCTGTCCGGTTGGGAACAGCGCAGAAAATTGCATTTACTCTCGAAAAACGAGAAGCTGTTACGGGAACTGCGAAATCTCGATAGTCAACGGTCTAGGGAAACGCATAAAATCGCGGTGATATACGTCAGCCAAGGTCAAGAGGATAAGAACTCCATATTGAGCAACGTCACTGCTAGCAAAGAGTACGAGAGCTTCATTGCAAGATTGGCCTGGGAAGTCGAGCTTGAATCCCACACGGGTTTTCTCGGCGGTCTGGTGCCTGGTAAAGCGTCCGGTGTCACAGCACCGTACTTTGCTACATCGTTCACTGAAATTCTTTTTCACGTTGCGACAAGGATGCCTTCCGATAGTCCCGAAAGTTTGTTACAAAAGGTATTATTAATCAGTATTATTAGTAGTAGTATTGTTATTAATCGACATGAGCAACTTCGAGAAATTACGTTGAACCTTGGAAAAATTGTTTCAGACCCGTCATCTTGGCAACGATGAGATTCACATAGTTTGGTCGGAGCACTGGCGAGATTATCGCAGGGATATCATACCAACAGAATTTTGTGATGTTTTAATAGTGATCTATCCGTTACACAATAAATTGTACAGAATACAAATCTCTCGGAAAGCCGAGATTCCATTTTTTGGGCCGTTGTTCGACGAGTGTATCGTAGAGGACAAAGTTCTGCCCGGATTAGTGAGGACAACCGCTTTGGCAGCGAGCAGAGCGAAACGGTCCACGCTTACGTTGTACCAGCATTAGTGAGTACACTAATCTCGAGCGTGAAAGCAAGTAACGTTTACACGTTGCTAAAACGAAACACGTTACAGTTATGAGGAGAGAGCGAGATCCATCGATACCGTCATGAGAAATCACAAAGAAGCTACGACGTTCGAAGAGTTCACAGCCAATGTGTACTCTCCGGTGCAGCCGCCAAGTCCGTTCAGCGGTGTCTCCTCCGTATCTGGTTAGTTTGTCCTATGTTAGTACGAAAACGAACCGAGAAATCTTTAATACACGTTTCATAGAAAATATTCCAGTTCAGACTATAGACAGCGTAGCTACCGCGCAGACCGTGTTTATTTGCAGTTTAATTCGATGCACAGTTCTCATTTATTCATAGCAGCCCCCCGCCCCTCCCCCCGAGACATAAGAGTTCTCTCTAGAATGTCCGATATAGATGCTCAACAGCTTAACAGCTGATCCCTTTTTTCAATAGAATCTCTGCATGACACGTCGATCGTTTATTATTATTATTATCAATATCACACTGTCAGGATCTACAACAAGCGTGCAATCCACAGCATCGTCAAACCTCGCAGCAGCGCTTATAGATTCGCATCAGGGCCGATCCGGGATGCGAAGTTCATCGGCGGCGAGCAGCGATAACCGCGCGAATAGAGGTGACTAATTCAGTCCACTAACCCCCACCCACCTTGTAACACCATCCGACAAGGTAGTATTATAATTTATTTTTTTTTTTTCTTTGCTGTTTACGTTCTATCTATACGAAGTGTATCCTTTGTTTAATTTCTCTTCTACTCTTTTTCTTTTCCTAAATAGACTTATCTGGTAGTGGTTCTATATGTTATAATATGTTAGTACATATTGCGATCTTCTACACTGGTCCTTTGAATTTTATCCAACAAGAAAACTCGAAACTGTCTATTTATACGAGAACATACGTCCACCTTTTTCTTTTTCGTTCGAACAACATTACACAGTTTACACACGAACTTTATATTCGACTCTAAAATAATTACGACATACTTGTCGTACAGTCAGAGATAGATCTTTTCGAAGACAAGATTGGAGAAAATAATATTACAAACGCTCTTTGTTTGATAACCACATGTTTCTTAATTATATTTTTGTTAACAGTCTTACACAATCTATTCAGAGGTAAAATCCCCTTTCTATGTGCATATTAGGCATAGATCGATACAGTTTCCTTCTATTCATATTTCATTACATACGCCACTTTTGTTCGTGTTGCTTCATAGATAGAGACTACAGTGCTGTGCGTGTGTATATAGCATTTGTGTTAGTAGCCGAAACGAAAAATGTTGATACAACTTTCACGAATCAACGATCCTTCGAAACCCTCCTACAAGCATTATATATGCTGTGACTAGCTTTTTGCAAATTGTGTGTGTGTGTGTGTTCTCTTATTTGAATTTCACTTATCTATCTATCTTCTTCACAGTCTGAGAAGTCAATATGTAAATATTTTATGCCAAGTTCAATCACATAAAGTATCTATACACTCTGTCACGGTGTTTCATCTCGAGAGTGCTCGTTTTATTTTCAAGAAAAAGAAGAAAAAAATAAGATAAAATAATGGCTATTATTATTTGAAAATCACTTCATGCGATACATTTTTGTTTTTTTAGCAATTACTTTGGTATGTGTACACAGCATAAAGTACTTACTTTATTTTAAATTTCTTTTTTAGCAAATTGCATGTTTAATTTTAGTACCGTTGTAGTCTCATGCGTTAATTAAATTGCATTTTTAGCTACACACGTAATTGTTTAGCTTGGTTTATATTTTAACGAATACAATACCAAATGAAGGTAAAATCTCTTTCGCCTTGGTTGTAGTGTCCGATGGAAGCAGAGTATGGTTCAGCAATGACACACCCGAAAGTACAGCGCTTCATGGAATTTCACCTAGACCTGTAAAAAAGATGTCGTTCAAAACTGGACAGAAGCAGAGGGCAAGCACTCAACCCACGCCTCCCGATAGTCCAAGATATAAATAAGGAATTTTATATCAATATCATAAACAAAAGGAACACTTTTTTGCACAAGAGGTTGTTCGAAAAGAGAACATCCCCGAAATTGTAATTTAAGAAAATTCTTTAAAATGCTAATCGACACAATGCATTACCGATACACTACGTTACACAGAAAGGTGACCCGCTGTTCCCTGCAATGAAGTTGGTCAAGGTTATGTCAGCACCAAGAACGGCGGGTCATGTGTTACCAGTCATTTTGGATGTTATCTTTATAAGGGGTCATCGAATATATCTGATTAGTCTTAGCGTTTTCTGTTTTCCGTCCTTAGGTTTAATTTTTATATTAAATGTACAGATCGTTGTTTATTTGTTGCAACGTGAATAATTAATTTATTGGAACATAAAAGCATATATGAGAGGATTTAACGGACATAGGTAATACAATAGCGGAACTATATTTGTTATATATACAATTATTAGTGTCGTCCGGGACAACTAATTTTCATTGTACAGTACATTCTTAAGATCAGTTTATCCCCTCGTACTTGAAACTAGGTAAGCTTAAATAATTCTATCGACTAAAGAAAAGCTTCTATATTTTAATTTATATTACGAGCTCCTCGATGTTACACACATGCCTTCGTAAGGAATAACTTTTTCATTTCCTGTAATCGTAATGGGTGATAAAAGAGAACCATAATTATTATGTAATCACAGAATGTGTCTATGAGAGTGTTGATAAGAATCAAATGTTATTTTTTAACATCAACATGTTTTACATGTAACGTCGTGTCACGGTGTCTCTTAATACTGTAATAAGTTGTACTTGAACGTGTTTGTGTATCGCGGTTGGCCGAACTTCTTTCAAACATTTTTCACACACAACTACATTCCATATCCGATTATCTTTCTTACAACTTCATTCATTCTTCAACCGAAACGCGAATAACTTTCTTTTCTTTTTTTAATACCTTTTGTTTTTGTTTTTTTGGAGAAGTCGAAGCATTCCATTGTATGCTTTCTATTTGATTTCAACGAATAGAAAGGCGAATCTTGTTGATGTCTACGTGTTACCAGGGACAAACAGTGTCTTAGTTTTTCGTGTACATCGTGTAGTGGAAGAGAGATCAAATTAGGGAACAGTTCTGTTGTCATACCAAAGTTACAGGTACTTGGTGCTTTATAATACTCGAGATATATAAGTATTTTAAATGATGTGTCAAAATGTGTTACTTCTGAGGAACGGTGAAAATCTAAAGAGAAAAAACTAAATGAAAGGAAAAGAGCTGAAACGAGATGCCCAGAGAGAGAAGTTTCAAAAGCGAATAGGAACGGAATAATGTTACGTGAGAGTAAAACATGTTTGCTTTAGAGAAAGATTTGTCTTAATACACACAGTGATAATAATCAAAGTATTAAATATATTATTGGTCGCTGTCGCTGTCGATATGAACAAAATGTTAGGGGAAAATGGTATACACATAATGTGATGAATATATATATATATATATACGTATACAAGGTGATAAAAAAAGCATTCAATATTTATACGGTAATATAGGACAAGCTGTACCGAGTAAAAGAGCCTTAGTAAACATAGATCAAAAGGTCAACCGTTTCTGGGATACGAACATTTTTGTTTGCTAGCATCGTGATTGATAATAACTGTGTAATATTAACCCTTTTGCCAATGCAGCGTGTCCTATATACCATACGAATATTGAACGCTTTCTTTTCAACACCCTATATATATTGGTATTCGAATTGAGATCGTAATAGATAATACACAAAAAAAGAAAAGGGAAAGAACACAAGATTCGAGTTTTTTTACCATTTTGAAGATTATCAAGAGACCGCATTCAAAAATGTAGGATTAGCAACGAAGATGTAGGGTGAATGATCACCAATGCGCAGACCATGGCCAAAGCAGCATTATTTTTCCACTAATTTATAACGAAGTAGTAATTGAGAAGAGCTGTGTACATATATATGTACTGTACATAAAATTGTTACGCTCGCGAAAATGACCCTCGACGTCACCGAGCGAAAAAGAAAAATTACGCTCCGCGAAATATTATGTCGCTACACTACATTTAACTGAAAACGAGAAAAATGAAAAGATATTGGTCTATACAACATATACGTATATTCGATTATATACATATAAACGAAGGGAAAAAGAACTTATTACAGTCTTATATAAGGATGCTTCTACGAAATCGTATCTAAACAGTGTACTTAATTAACAAACTATCTTCATTAGTACCATTAAAATAACTACTTGCTATTATTTATGTTATAAATATACAAATTGCTGTTAACATTACTAGCATAGCTTTCAACTATTTTTCTTACTGGACGTTGCGCTTGTAATTACACGGAACGGAACTTGCGTGAACGAACCAATCCACAGTCAATAATGCCGCATAAAATTGCAATATCAATCTTTTTCTTTCCTAATTTTTTAATCTTCATCAAGATTGGTAGCTCGAGTAATGCATAACGACGGAGATTCTTTATTCTCGATTGTTCGAAGTAGAGAGAGAGAGATGTACAAACGTCATAACTTTATAATTCTTCTTCTTTTTCTATGTAACTGAGTGTTGATGTGTGAAGTGTAAAGTTAACAATGTTACTATCAGATATCTCTGTAATTAAAAGTGTATCGCCAAGAGTTTTTGGTAGGAACCTAAAACCTGCTTTAAGGTAGTTTTCAAAAGTAGAACTGTTGTTCACCATTTAATCGCAGAGATTCGTGATCGTAATATATTTAATTTTATACCGTGCACGTATGTACAGCGAAACGTCTGATTTATAATACGAAAACAAAGCTATACACATCGATCGCACTGGTCTCATTGTATTAATCGGACGTGTCTGATTATATATAATTTTCTTTTCTCTAAATACTTAAAATGCGTTTCAATCGTTTGAATTGTTCAGCGCAATGAGAACAGCGAAATTAGAGTTTCGTAGTATTTACAAGGCGGCTCTTGAACTAATCGATAGACTTTCTGATATCTCTAATGAAAATTTCTGCTGTAAAATCTGTACCACCGAATCGGGACTTTGTAAAGAAATATTTGCAGAATTTACAGTATCATAGGGCAGAGTAGAGATCGGCTAGAAAAATTGTATTGGACGCGTTAATTAGTCCTCTATAGAGAGAGTAATGTTCGGAATTGATCCAAAAAAGACACATTGCTCTTCTGTAATTCGAATTCGTTGCCCAAAGATTTCTCTGATATTGTATTAATTATACACATTTCTCCGATGGAATGTACATTTTCTTGCACAATAAAATTGTGATGAATTAATCCTGAGAAACTTCAATGCGTAACCCAGTCGGCCAAGTCTGTCTCGACCAAATACATGTAAAACGCTTGGTGGTGTATTTTGCGAGGAAATTTATGCGCATTTGGTGCCAAGGCTCTGCACGTTATTTGGCACCAAACGCATGGCGTTGCCAAAATCTTGGCAAATCTTTGCGGAACCTTGTAGCAAAATCGTTCGAAGAGAGTGCTCACGTAGCAAATGCGACAGCCGTTTTAATTATTAATCATAATAATTTTGGGATAATTTTGGGACACCTTGTACAGCTTTTAAATTCGAATTCGCATTCCTTTTAGCTTCTGTGACGCAACTGTAGGGGACAGCATAGTGAGTCATCTTCAAAATGGCCACCATTAGTTTTAGCTGTCGAAGGTTTTTGACAATTACAAACTAAATCGCGAGTGCAGTTTTACGCGATTGAGGGTTTTTTGTGTTACAGTTTTCCGATAATACAGGCCTGTTTAAATCGCGAAGATTGAATGAACGCTCTTTCATCGTTTTGCTGGATGTGATCGTGACTGATCGCGTCTCTCACGAACCGAAGCGCGGAAGTACACAAAGATACCATTCGAGTAGCTGTCAAAAAGTTCTTATGCGGGGACTCGTTGAATCAACATAATTCGTTCGCACAAACGTTGATGAATGTCTGAGAGCGATACTTACGATTCGGCCGACGAATATACGAGTCTCATGGACGGTCACGTAGCGGAATCTCGATCAGATGACCTGGGGTTGGTCGCGGCGCGGAAAAGGCGTTCGCAACTTAGCAATGACGAGGTAAACCAACACTGTTTGGCAGCCTTACATTTTTTTCAGATCTTTGTAAATAATTTTATTATAGTCCTTTGTTGAGTACAATCAAACCACGTCAATTTCCTTCGTTATCTTGCGACAGCTGTAGAGAAATTTCTTCAACTCGAAATATAAACTTACCTTGACCAGAATATAGTTTATCATATGCGCTAAGCGTTATTTTATTATTTTATTATTTTATCTTTATTATATTTATATATTATATTTATTATATATTTATTATTTATTATATTATATTATTTTATTTTAGAGCTCTGCAATTCAGAGCTCATTTATATAAATCAAAATTCTGTTACTGGTATCTTGAAAAATAGAAGCCACAATTTTTTTGTCAATGATTATTGATCTTTAAAGATCACATTTTTGTTCGTCGAACCTTATTTACTTAAGAGCTCGATGAAACAATATCTTTATCAGTCTAAAATATTGTAATGTTTATAAATAAAATCAATTGAACTTCCTATTTCTTAATGTCAATATTCTTTATAGATATTTCTAAATGCTAGGGTTATCGGAAGGGTTAAAAACATTCATTTTGAATTTATGAAAATTATTAAAATTATAAAAGTACTTTTGTAGGATGTTACCTATTGTAAATGGAAATTATTTATAGGTCGAAAACGGTGTACCCGACGTGCATTTTCAGTCACCAGGTACGTCAAATAACGCACCTTTAGGGAGAAGAGGTCCTAGCGGTCAAGATAGATCCAGAAATTATAGAGACGAAGAGGAAGAAGAATTAAAATATGGGGCAGCGCATGTCATTAAATTATTCGTGCCTGTATCACTTTGTATGTTAGTCGTAGTTGCCACCATTAGTTCTATACATTTCTATACAACCAAAGGAATATACTTGTAAGTTCTTTTTTTATGTGGAACATTTCTAACGTAGACTTGTACGAATAAAGCTGACGCTTGATATCTTTCGATTTCTTTCAGATTATATACTCCATTTCATGAAGATACTGCAGACGCAAGTACCAAAGCTTGGCAAGCGGTTGCCAATGCCTTAATATTGATAAGCGTCATCGCTTTCATGACTATGATACTTATAGTCTTATACAAATATAAATTTTATACAGTAATCCGTACATGGTTGATTATAAGTTCCTTATTATTGTTATTCATGTTTTCTATACTATATTGCGAGTAAGTATGCTCACACATCTGTTCACCGACATTTATTTTTTTTATATTTTGTGTAAAAACCAAATTTATTTCAGGCAAATATTAAAAGCTTACAACATTCCCATAGATTTGTTCACACTAGGTATAATCTCGTGGAATTTCGGAGTTGTTGGTATGATATGTATACATTGGCAGGGCCCTTTGCAGTTGCAGCAAGCGTACCTTATTTTCATCTCTGCCCTTATGGCTCTTATCTTCATCAAGTATATGCCAGAATGGACAGCATGGGTGGTTTTAGGCGCTATTAGTATTTGGGGTAAGACAGTTCTCCTAAAAGACATATCGTTATTCTTGCAAATCAACTACAATTTATTCGTCATCGATGTCCATAGATTTGATTGCCGTATTACCAACGAAAGGTCCTTTGAGGATACTAGTAGAAACTGCTCAAGAACGCAATGAGTCCATATTTGCTGCTTTGCTTTATTCATCGACTGTGATGTACACAACGTCAACGACTTACACGGGTTTCGTGCAAGCGGCAACAATGAATAGCAACGATTCCGTTGCTGGGGACGGCACAACAAATCCTGTACATGGTCAAGTAGAAAATCAAAATAATCCTACATCAAGGGATGCAGAAGAAGGCGGGTTTACTCCTGAGTGGATTGAAACTCACGGTATTAGATAAGGGAGTCCACTTAGCGGGCAATTAAAATGACTAACATACAGTTTCACTTTTAGGCGATAGAGGTGCAAGAAGGGCGCAAGAAGTGCTCGATAATTCTACACCGCAGACAGAAGCGTCGAGGCAACAAGATAGTCGTGTGGTACGTGAACCACAAGGGTACATAGTTCCGGTTACCGAGGAAGAACGGGGATTCAAATTGGGTCTTGGAGATTTTATATTCTACAGCGTGTTAGTCGGAAAGGCTTCCAGTTATGGCGACTGGAACACTACCTTGGCTTGTTTCATTGCTATTTTAATTGTACGTATTCGCTCGTTGCAACTTCTATTCAACTGAAAAAAAACAGCGTTTGAGTTCTCAACACAAATAATATTTGAATATTTTCTTTCTTTTTTTCAGGGTTTGGGTTTGACAACACTCTTGTTGGCCATATTTAGGAAAGCATTGCCAGCTCTGCCAATTTCTATCACCTTCGGTTTAACGTTTTACTTTGCAACAAGGGTAATCGTCGCGCCATTCGCAGATAGCTTAGCAAGCGAGCAAGTGTTCATTTAACGATAGGTATGACGATCATAACATCTTATTTAGTATTATTTATTACAAAACGTAATCGCTATTTACAACATTCGATCGTGTCTATAGGTCTCATATTTCGTTCAAATTTTTCGTTCCATGTTCCACGCTCTTCGAACTTGTATTTTGAACAATGCTCAAAACAAAAGACGGTTTACATTTGTAAGAGAAGAAAAAATAATAAATAACAATTGTATTTGTCTGGTACATAGAGGAATTTTGTGGATATCCTGCATAATATTTACTTCGTATTGCGAACGTTGATTTTAACTGACAATATCTTTTTTTTTTATTCATACCTTTTAAAGTAACGTTTATTCACGATCGCTTTTATTCGATTACGAGAAACTGTTAAAAGAAAAATACCTACTGAAAATAATTAAATTAATATAACTACGACAGTTTATTGTATCTCATTGTGTGTTACATTTAGAGAACATAGATCGTATAGATCGAGTATAAAAAAAAGGAAACAATTGATGATCGTTCTTTCAGAAACCTTATGAAACATGAGGTATAATGTTTGCCTAAGCGGTTCACTAAAACGTACACACCTTACAGCTGCGAGCCACTAGTAACGCTAGCCCATCCGTCAGGATAATTCCTTGGGGTTTAAAAGTCCGTTTAAACACAGCCATGGGATAAGTAATCGTTCACCATAATTACAAATTGGAGATTTCACTTGAATAACACCACGATACGTATTGCTATAAGTTTCATTCGCCATTTAATAATTAAACAACAAGCGATCGTAATCCGAATATACACTGATTTTGTTAATACGTGTTCGAATGATTTCGATTCGTGGCAAAATGACCTATCGGCCGTGTACTGCGAAACCATAATTTTTTCAAATTGCACATTTTGATAAGCGTATACACTTCTTCTTTTTTATTTTTTTTCATAAAGATTTTCATCATGCCTTATTCATTTGTTGTCAAGCAACGTTTATATAATATAACGGTTAAACATTTTGCCAAGAATGACAGATTAATATGAAAGTTTTATAGCGTCGATTAACAAGAATCTCCTCCGGTTTCATTGCCAAGCACACGTTGTTGTGTTGTATCACTTGTAATATTATTTTTAACACCGCTATTCAATTCTTTTTCTCCCCTTATTGTTACAAACTTCGTCGCGATATACGCAGTGTATACATATACAATATATATATTATATATAAATCCCCGGAACCGGAAGAACTTCAACAGCGATATGATATCCTTTGCAGTCCGTAAAATTATGAATAATTCAATAAGTTTACTAGTAACTACGTACTAAGAGGAAGTTCATTTTTTTCTCGTTTTTAATAATAATAATATATATATATATATATATATTTAGTCGATTTTCTCAGTCACGACGACGACGACGACGACGGTGTGTAAAAGACGCAGTCCCGACGGAAAAATAAACGCGATCATTTCTGAAAATCTAATTATTATCACCGAGCACTGATCATGCCCGATTCATAGAATATATTATGGTCACCGTGTGGTTGTGCGCACAACGAATTATGCGTTGTTTTCCGTGCGTACATTGTATAACAATACTGGTCTATAAGTGCTTTATCGTCAACGATAGAGGCGCGCGCGAATTTGTAATCGAAACGAAATCAACGAGTCTCTTTGAATAACAAGAAGCAGCAATTGCGTGTGTACAATTTGAAATTACCTTTCTTCTTCGCGACAACAAGGGAGCAAAAACATCAGTGAAAAAATACCCACGACCCGTAACAATTAATTTAGTCGTACGTTTCGCAAAATATTCTTCGGAGACTAGCCGGATCTTGCGTTTCCCTTAAAATATCGATTCTTCTCGTTTTTGTTTGTTTGTTTGTTTTTTCTCTCCACTAACACTAAGTACAAACAGATATTTTCGCGTACACGATATACACATCATCAGTCTTGTGAAAACAATAAACTTTTGGAAACGTATTTTGGTAAATATAAAAAATGATTAATCATATCGCACAAGGTGGTAACTGCTTCGCTAATATTTTTCCCCGCTTCGATATTTTCTTCACCTTTGTCCAGTTCGTCATTATAAAAAAATACAACGAATTCTAAACATCTCCTAATAATATCTATTCACTGTTCAGGATCGTTCATTATTCGGATCTCGGGGGAGGGGGGGGGGGGGTCATCCTCTTTAGCTTGTACCGTATTTGCTGCTCTCGAATGTTCCCCGTCTGAAGAATGAACTAAATTCTAACAATGATTGCTTATCTATGTTGCTCAGGTTGCCGTTATACTTGTAAAGAGGTTCGCAGTGCGGCAACTCCGAGCAGACCTGTATCAACCGTCGCAGGTATTCTTCTAATCGTTTCCTACGTTGTCGCGCCACGACCTCCGATCTCGGGAAAACTTGTCGGGGTGGGAAGCGTATCGCTGCTACCTGTGCGAATATAATTCAAAAAATGAAACGACGTGTTCTTCCTATTTTTTTTTTTTTTAGACGAAAAAGAAGAACAATTTACCTTGCTACCGTACTTCTGTCTCATTGAAATGTACAATTCACGGAATCTTCTGTAACGCCTCAGAAGAGTCCAGCTATCGTCCTGGGCCACGACACGTACCTCGTACTCGTAGTGGCTGGAGGTGCCGGCCCCTCGTATCACGTAGGAGGGTATGCTGACGATCATGTTGATCACATTGTCGCTGTCGGCATCGTTCGCTATCAAAGACGGCAAAGACCTCGTGATTGTCAGCGAGTACGGGCTACTCAGTCGGTCGCCTCGGTTCTGGCTCTAAGTGAGAGAACGATTAACAATATATAATAATATATTATATTATATTATAATATATAATAATAAATATAATCCGACAGGAACATTATCTCCACGACGCAGCGACAATTACCGTTAAATAAACTGTGGAGTATCCTCTTCCAGACAGTATTCTAGACGCGACCGATTCCGAGAGAACGTGCTCCTCGTTGGTGTTAGGCCTATTGTACCTAAAGACCGGGGACCGCGTTGTAGACATTGTCAACAGGGTGGCCAGGTTCGTGGTTTCTACGTCACTGCACATTTTTGATTCTACGGTATCTACACGATCGCTTGCATCGCCGGTGCCTAGCCTACTCTCGCCGCACTGTAACTTCGTCTCCTCGTTGCACTTTCGTTCGTCCTCTATAAGCGACACCTCCAGCTCGATCTGTTGCTTCTGAAGATCCTGCAGGATCGCTATCTGCCGGTTCAGATCGTCCTTGGACGGGGCCTCGAGGCATCTCATCACCATCATTCGTTGACGAGCGATTCTTTGGTTCAGTCGTTTCATCGCCGGATCCTGTTGCACCGGCGACTCCAGAGAGTCCTCGAGAACGTCCTCCTCCATCGTGGAGTTCGTCGGGGACTTCGACTCCGTTTTCTCGCCGTTTGCGCTGCCGTTGCATTTCTCTGACTCCGCGACGCTCTCGCCGGAGGACTTTCTACTCGCGTTTATACCTTTACTATTATCTAACTCGAGCAATTTATTAGCTCTGTCGTTTTCTAGATACATTTTCTGAGGTGTGATCTGCTTCTTGTCCGGCTCTTTTTCCGCGTCGCCCGCCAACATCTGGGACTCCTTGCTGTTCGCGTCCTCGAAGAGAATGCGAGGCTCCGGAGAGTCAGCTGCGGCCGTGTGAAAGGTGTCCGCGGTCTCCACGGAGCTGGGAAGATTTTGTGGCAGTAGACTCAAAGCGGATGCTATTTGAAGCTTCCTGTTGTACACGTTCAGGAACGGGTCCCCGTTCGAGCTGACCTCGTCGCCGCTCAACGAATGATCGTCGGGCGACGCGGGCAGAGCACGTTTCAAGTTCAACGAGAGACTCTGTTTACGCCGCAAGATCTCCTGAAGTTGTTCCTGAGACCGTTTCGCGAGGAGTAATTTCTTCTCTGTAATCCCGTCACCTTCCAACTGGCAAAAGTAGGTTCACGATAAATAAACAGTGCAGTAAAGAGTGTATAGTCGACGGTAGAGAAACATTGAAGTCGCGAATTTGTTAAGATATTAGATAATATAATAATAATAGAAGATAATTAAGATTTTGGATACCTAATCTACCAAATGAAAGTATTATCATTTTTGAACCGTCGACTAGATATACAGAATGGGGCATTTAAAATAGGTCACCTGAATAACTCGCTTGTTTTTGAAGATAGGAGAAAATGCATTCGACCAAACTTGTTTGGTATCGGGGGGCTCATAATCTGGTATTACCAATTTTTCTGTAGGTGGAGGCGTCAAGGAGATACGAAGGTCAATTCTGTTTTTCTTAAATGGAACAGTAAGTTTGGTCCAATGCATTTTCTCCTATCGTTAAAAACAAGCGAGTTATTCAGGTGGCCTGTTTAAAATGCCCCACCCTGTATACGTATGCATATTAAGCAATGCAGAGTATTTACTTCCAAGTTAAACAAATGCTTTTGCTTCTTGGCTATCTCCATCAATTCTTCCTCCATCTTATCTACTTTGCTCTGATGCTCATTCAGCGACTTCACTTTGTTTTGTAGCTCGGTTTCCAAGGCTGCCAGTTCTTTCTTCTGAAAAGTAAACATTGCCAGTTCTTTCTCTAAAATACAAGCCTAGATTTAGATCTTCTAATTGCATTTTTTTAATCCTAAGAACATTGGAAATATTTCAACGGATCCTACGATGGACCAACAAAAAATATATCCAGGATTGGACGCTGAACTGTGATTTCGGTTTTGAAAAAATTGTCCAAAGCAAGACAACGAATTACATGCTCTTTTATCAACTTACATGATGATGAACAAGCTCTCGCATCGCGTCGACGCATTTATCATCGTTCAGACTTGACCATGATTCTGGCAAGCTGCCGTCACTGCCGGCACCGTCGTCCGTCTGAAATGGTACATTTTGCTCTCTGAACTAGGGAAACCGTGCGATGCGTTTTTCGACACAACAATCCCACGTGATCGGAATGAAAAAGAAAAATTAAATAAATGAAAAAAAACGTCGTCACAATGCAGATATATCGTAGTATATACAGCGTGCGATTATATGATCTGTGTGCTCCCTTAGAGATTACACGTGCTGCAAAATGAAATTTCTATCTCTTAAATTTTCTCTAAGTCTTACCTTCTCCCACCATTGATGGTATCTTTGAGCGCGTTCATGATTGCTTATGAACTCTTGGAACTGACGATGCTTGGACTGCAATGTCGTGCGCAGAGAGGTAACTTCCCTACATAAACTTCCTACCTGGTACCACACATATACATATGGATGCATTAACAAAAGAATTAAAAACGAAAATAGAACATAATTAAAAGAGATGCAGTGTATCATACGCTGTCGAGCAAACAACTGAACAGAATTGTTAACCGAACGTTAAAGAAAAATTTGATTACAAAATTAGATACAATGTTTAAAGTATGATAATAATGAAAATATTATATATATATTAATATTATATTATATAATATATATTAATATAATATAATATATACAATAATATTATAATAAAATTCTTGACTTCTTTGTATATATGCAAAAATGAAGCTAAATATCGCAATATCTACAGAATAATTATTGCAAGAGACACAGAAATCAAGGAAATAATCGCTTTCAAATTATTCGATCAGTGCTCGGGTCTGGAAAAGAAGCATAAGTCGTTGGTATACAGAAACAAAAATTCGAGGAATTCAAACATATGAATCATGCTGCTTTCGTACGGTATAAATGATACAAAGATCTACGTGACGTGGTCATAATCAAGATTTATTGGACTGCTCGGAATTCGATCTACCAACGTGACAGTATTTGTCGACAACAAAATGCGGATGAACGTTGTTGGAAAAAAAGAAAAGAAAAAAAATCAGAGAACAATGAGAAATGGACGCGGATACGTTACCTTGAGAACTCGGTTTTGTGTTAGTTTCTCTCTAATTCCCATGTTAGGCACTCGAGATCGCAGTGCACGCGCGTACGCGTGCCCCCAACGTATTTTTATCAACAAAGATACAATTGGGTTTGTTAATCGGGAGCCGTTAATTCGACAGTATTTTCGACCATGTTACTTAACGAGTATACGTGAAGAAACAGAAGTACAGAGTGTGCGTGCAGAGCTTATCGTGGAAGATCGTACGCCAATTTTCGTAAGAAAATTTTATTAATCAACAATTATCGGTATATATATAACAATAGTTTCTTGCTTGTTTTTTTCTCTCCTTTCTCGCATAACAAACCCATATAGACAATTTCTACAAAATGAACAAGCCTAGATATGTACATAACTTTTCTTTCTTCTTCTTTCTTTTTTTGTTTTTTTTTTTTAATCTCTCTCTCGCTCTCGCTCCTTATCGTGTATCACCTTAAAAACTACTTAAGGTACTTAATAGGTAATAACATTCCACGGAATGCCATTTGTCCGGCAATATCTCGTCAACACTGGCACAGTTTATAGATCCGGCGGTGCGTATATATATGTATTATATGTACATATACACATGTTAAGTTTCTTTTTCTCTCTCTCTCTCTATCTATAGAATCGCTAGATAAAATAGACGTGTTAGATTCTAGGCAGCTATATATTATCTCTGTAAAATTAGGCGCATTGGTGTTAAGAAAAAATATACCACGGACGTATGAATCGGGTCGATGCACATGAAATTACTGATTCATAGTTCTCTAATAATATTTGCTAACGTTCATTTATAAAATATTATACAGTTTTACGCTGATACAAATGATACGCGAGAAATTATGAACTGTACAATCAGTTTTATGCGCAAATGCTCAGTTTATATAAATAACAATCGAAATTCTACATGCATTGGAATATCAAGATCCATCTTATTCTGTCTATTTCCTGGGATTTTCATTCACATTTCAAAATTTGAACAATTTTCAATCAACTGAAAATCTCATCAAATTGAACACTAACGGTACAAAAAGTAAATATACAAATGGAACTTTTGAATAAGTAAAGCAGTTCGAAAGCAATGCTATGCTTTAATTTATACTTTGATACGCGAAACGGCAATTTCATATGCACGAACTTTATAAAAACGAAGAGTTATAAATGATATATATATATATTTATATATATATATATTATATTATATTTATATATTCATATATATATTTATATACATATATCATAATATATACACAGTACCGGACAAATATTGTCTCATCAACGATTATGCGCGTTACACATGACACAGCTTCACATGTAGATCTAATAGACGCCATATTGAAAGCACCCTTAGTCTTTGTTTTTTTTTTAGTGAAATCTCTATAATCTAAGTCAGAACGAGATTCATCGTTATTATCATTGTCAACGAAGATGAAACAACCCGCGCGTTGCCGCTCGATGGCGGATTGTTCATTGAACATGGTACGATGTAATTCGAGTTCGAGTAGCACGACGAGGGACCGATCGGTTCCTTGTTGGGCGTGGGTCACATGTTCAACGGGCAAACGTGCGAGTAGATGATGATGTTGCCGGACAAACAAATAAGGACACCGAGAGCAATAAGTACGAGGTAACATTGATACTTGATCGAGATTACGTTCAAGTCCGGGGACGGCGCGTCCGTGTCACTTACTTGCGTCATCTCGTCACGTCGCTCTTGTTCCAGGATGTGACGTCGGGTGCGTAACTCCCGTTGACGTGACTCGAGTGCCGCTATAGCGTCCGCCCATTCTTTCCACTGGGCGCCCCATTCTCGTTCCAATTCCCGCTGCGCCCCTTCCAGGGCTTCTCTTCGCGCTGTCCACCGTTCCTCGCGCTCCTCCTGTTCCCTCTGCGTGCGTGAAACGAGAAACCACAAATTAGAGAACACGTCGAACTCATCGCTATCCTAAATCTTCTATTTATATAGTTAAATATAATAATAATAAAGCGTCTAGAGCGTATCGCGTGTTTCCAGCAAGCTTTCACAACGTTGACTGGCCTACTTGGAAATCATTGTCTATCTTGTAATGCGCGAAACAAGCGTAACAACGGCCGGCTCATCCGTCCACGAACCTTGAAATCCTCCTTTTCCTTGATAAGCGCAGCCTTCTGCTGCTCCAGCTCCTCAAGCGCCCGGAGGTCTTCGCTCGAGTTCAACAGGTTATCGCTAGAGGAGGAGGCATGCAAATCCGAGACGCTCCAGCTCAACAGCGACAATCTGGAGAGATTGACGACCGTGGACTGTAAGTTACCGTTACCCGTTCCACCTTCCTTTCTCAGCTTCGCCGCTTCCGCCGGATCGTTGTACCGGAACATGTTGTTCCTGCCCAGAAGAATGATGCAACCCTGCGAGAGCCGCGTCGGCTTGTCCACCTGGGCGGTGTTGATCCAGCAGTGGGGAGAAAGGGGATGAAGGGTCGCTACGCCACTGTCTAATTCCACCACACAGTGCTCCGGCTCGACGTCCGCGCCGGTCAACACGATATCCTACAAGCATCAAGTTGTGTTAGGTTTGCGAGTATTTTGTACGAGCAGTTTCCAAGTTCTTCGGTCACATTTTGAGCGAATAATTGTACAATGGCCGATCGAAGAGCTTGAAGGCGCTGAAGACGTTACCTGTGCGTTCGGCGCCTCCTCGGTTCCAACCAACGTTCTACCCTCTTTCAGGTGATAAAGCGTGACGCCGGTGCTGAGGAGATCGTCGTCAATCCCAACCAGATGCGGCATTTCAGAATCCAGAACCACCCCCACGCCGCTCTTGCGGAGACCCAGCGCTTTCTGTTCCTGAAGAATTTGTTGCGTCTCCCGCCATTTCTCCGTCCACTCCTCCGTTAACACCTTCTCCTGCTCTTGCTTCTCGTGAATTTGTGCTAATAATACTTGCGGTGGCCTCTCGATGCTCTGAAAGATCACGGATGTTATAACAAACTTCTTGCAATGTTATTAAATCGGCGAATGCTCTCTATTGTCGTGTGATACTAGCGACTGCGATAATTATTTTCAGACGATCGACGACGTGTTTCTGTTGTTTTGTACTTGCCATATCTTTTCCAATAAGCGACTTCAGCTTCTGAATTTCTTCTCGGAGCTCCCTGATCAGTTTAACGTTCGGGTCCTCGTTGATGGTCGGTTTGTTGATTATATTCTTCGCTCGGTTCGCGTACCTGAGCGTACTGAGCGTCTCGCCGTAGTTACAATCCGCCGGACTAATAGCTGCGATCATAATAGTCTTAGAGTTACCTCCAAGCGAGTCTTTTAGCAACCACGTTAGCACGCTATCCCGATAAGGTATAAAGACGTTTCGCTTCGAGGACGAAGACACATCGCTCGTGGAACTGACCTCCGCGAGCGCTGATATCACAGAACCTAAAGTCACAAGGGACTTATTGATATGGGCACCTTCTTTTAGTCGTTGACCAGTCGCTCCTGTTGCGTTCGCACGTTCACTAGAAAATGTGATAACATATATATATATTATTATTATTATTATATTATATATATTATTTTTTAAGAGTTTATTCTAATATATATATATATATATATATATATTCTCTATTATATAATATAATATATATTAGAATAAACTCTTAATAATTTGGACATCGAAAGATCATAATGTCATAACAATGTGATATTTCCAGTTAACGAAAACTCGTGTTACACGAGGACCGTGTCAAGATCAACTACCTTCCGGCCAAGTCGACAAGATGCACCTTGGAAACGGTCTCCGACGGCATATTGCCCTCGGAGAGCCCGGCTTGCACGAATGTTATTGTAAAAATCGCGTGACTCCTGCTGCTCACGTCGTTCATATTTGTGCTGGCTGTAGTTCTGTGCGTGTTGCCTCTCACCATACATTCCTGCAACACCAAAGGGAGGACTGTTAACAAATTATGTATAGCTGGGAGCGGAAGGCGTGGGAGGGACGGAGGTTTACCTGAATGTCTGAATAATCGTACACGAGGTGGCTGGACAGGTCTTGAACGTAAGGTCCCCTTTTAGGATGCTCCCGCACCTTGAGAGAATGAGACTGTGACTGGTCCAGTCGCAGCAAGTCTTTCACTCTCTCATTGTGTATCTCCAGGAAAGACACCTCGGTTCTATACGACGCTCCGCTCTCTTTCCCGGCGGCCATCCTGGCGAACAACGTCTTGCAGATCCGCGGTATCAGTCCCTGGGCCTCCTACGCGCGTGTAACAGAAAAGAGAAGAAAGAAAAATGAACGTGAAAAATTCATAGAAATCGCCGGCCGGGTGAAAGTCGGCGATCGCCGCGTATGTTTCGTCGAAGTTGTACGATCAATCTTTGCGGCTCGCTGCGATCAATCGCGAGACGCGCGCCCGAGCATGATAGTATGATAATCAGATGTCGGCGAAGCTTGAACAAGTTTATTTTCAGCGAATAAGAAGATCACGGAGAACTATCGAAATCAGGGAAATCGCTTCTTTCTTTTTTTTTTATTATTCTATTAGCGTGGCATTGTGTGATAAAGGTGGGATACGCTAAGAACAATGAGATCTTATTTCTAGGCAACTTGGAAGAATGAACCGTGAATTAAAATGTATCACACATGGATTTGTAGTACTCGGAATAATTAGAATTAATTCCTACACGATTGCGAATGCGCATAATGAAGAATTGCTATGATTTATGTACATACAGGGTGTCCCGAAAATGTCTCGCAATCCGGTAAATGGGAGGTTCCTGAGGTGATTTGAAGCAACTTTTTCCTTTGCGAAAATTTTCTCCGAGGCTTCGTTTACAAGTTATTAACGAAAAACGCGGACCAATCGTAGCGCTAGTGCGACCGGCGCTCCGTGGCCCACGCGGCCAATGCCGCGTCGCACCGGCCATCTGACGCAGCGAGGGCGTGGCGTCAGCGCCGTGGCGATGTCTCATTGGTCCGCGCTTTTTCTCAATAACTCGTGAACGAAGCTTCGGATCGCATTTTCGCTAAGGAAAAAGTTGCTTCGAATCACCTCAGGAATCCCCTACTTTCGGATTGCGAGACATTTTTGGGACAGCCTGTATATTATTGCCTGGCAACTGATCGTTCTACTGTGCCGAATCTGTGTCGTCTTCCACTACTGTCTGATCGTTAACCTAAAATGTTAAGTAGCATTAGCACAACCAGGCGTATTCTCCTGTGCAGTTCAAACGGCACTCGTGCCCAATAATGAACTACATGACGCAACTGATTATCCTAAATACGTACGGATGATAATATAAACAATTTTGAACAGGACAGTGTTCCTTAAGTTATAACGTTAATTTTACAATGATAATGATTCTCTGGTGAGCGAGAAAGAAAGGTATAAATCGTATTTTGGTCAAAATAATATGTCATCGATTCCAAAAAAGATAGAGAAATGTTTCTACATCGAATATTATGTAAATGTCATCAACTTTTATATAAAAAAATCTCACACTTATTATTATACCGCACTTTAAATATGCTTTTTTGCAGGTCTAATAAATCTTGAATCATACTCTTTAGCTCATCGGAGTGTGCATTAAGACTCAAGCTAAAAATCTATTCAATAGGACGACATATTACTTAGGTTTTCTCAAAATATGAAACATAATGCTAATTTGAATATTTCACGTTGCATGAAACGTTCCGCAGTTGCTGACGAATAACCTTGTACAGTGAAACTGGTACAAAATGTTAGGATACAATTAGGACTCCTAGTAAGCAGTGAACTGTTGAGAACTAATTTCAGCATGCGACCTTCTAATTATTTCGAGCTCGACAATGCTTCTTGAATGCTTTTGGAAATGACGAACGATGCACCGATTCTCGTAAAACGTGGGACCATTCGAATTATTACCGGTGAGCCCATCATCGTGAAGGTCTTCCCAGACCCTGTCTGGCCGTAGGCAAAGACGCAGGCATTGTAGCCCTCGAAGGCACTTTCTATTACGTCCGTACCAAGATCATAGAAGACCTGAAAAATGAAAACGAAAAAATATATTAAAATTTTTCTTAGTGCATTGACACAAAACGTTGTACTCGATTCAAAGTGGAGAGATATTTTTGATCATTGCTATCTTCACGGATGAAGTCGTACACGCTTTACGTATGTGTGTATGTATGTATGTATGTGTGTACATGTATGCTAACTGCATTCAGTGGCGGAGCCAATTTTAATAGCGGCGCACAACGTTCAAATAGTTGTTGCCATTTGTAGCCGGGTAATCCATCACCCGACCGGTAAGAATTAATTAATTATTGATAATTAATAAAAAAATTAATTATATATTAATTAATAAAAAATTAATTAGTTATTATATTTGCAAGAGATTCAATGAACTATTGAACGCTTCAGAACCCTCAATAATTGCATCAGTATGCACTGGTCAACAAAAAGTGAACTATACTGTTGATAAAAATACGGTGATCTTTAGCATTACCACGGATTTCAATTACACGCGAACAAGCGATGAAGATGGAGTACTTGCATGTTTTGTTTCTCCGGCGTTTAGGGTGAAACATGTTTCGACTAACACGTAGTATATTATTGTGAAATTATTATTGTAAAATTCTCTAAATTCAAGTTTGTTCTTACGACAATGTCCGTTGAACTAGGTATAAGCGTACCAGTCTTCTATTTTAATTCTGATTGTGGCTCATCGTCGAAACGTCGCCGAATACGATCTTAGAGGTCTATCGATTAATCTACCGTCAAAATGAAAATTTTCTGATTTGCAAGTATATGAAATAACAGATTTAATCGCGTACATTCGTGCATATCTATAAGTATTTATTTATATCAACAATAAACAGTTATTTATATATATATATGAATAACTGTTTATTGTTGATATAAATAAATTTTTATAAATATTTATTTATATATATATATATATAAATGTTGATATTGATATTTATTGATAATATCGATATTATTTTATTACTGATATTATTGATAATTTATTTATAAATATCAATATCAACAGTTATATATAAATATCAATAAATATAAATTATATTAAAATATGGTAGCCCACGAATTGCTCGCAATCTTTGAAAAGTTTCTGATACTTTAAATAGAAAAATGTGATAAATAATAGTGCACCGATATTGAATAAAAAAGTTAACAAATGAAAAAAGATCTTGACATTATTTCTCGTAAAAAGAAACTAGGAACGATCTTGTGTCTTTTCAAACAGCGCACCACGTGCTTTTGTTATTATATTTTTAAACTATAAACAAACGATATCCAATGACATATCGAAACAACGTTTCTATTTAATTATTTAATAATGTAATCTCTGCTATGAATAGTTGTCCACGATTTTCTCTAGAATCTAATTAACGTTTCCAAAATAGATGAATCCCTAAAGACGCTACAGTTGTCGAATTAACCAGTATAAATATTGACATTTACGTTCCTCCATACAGCTCGAGCCAACAAACAGCTTTGTACGTTTCTACATAAGCTTGTATTATTTGTTTTGGTATTTTTTTTTCTTGAACGTTTACGTGATAGTAATTACGAGCAGGAGACCTTCGTTTGTTCTAAAAAAAAATATCAATTATTAGGCGATGGAATCATTGAGAATAATTCAAGAAACGAATCAAATTATTTGTAGTAGCATTTAAAAAGTACAAAGGTACTTTATTTAACAGCTGTTAAAAAGACCTTTCTGGTATAAACCATTGTAAACAGCGGTATACGTCATATATTCAAGCCTGGAACGATCCCCTGGGTGTCGGCGACGACCATAAAAAGCTTTTAAATCTGCTTGCAAACGTGTAAATAAATACCTAAAACAAGTTTTCCATACCTTCCTACCTCGTGCCGTGCTTCACGAAGGAATAAACATTCTTTTTCTCTCTCATATTTCGAAAATAATAAATATTTTTAATTATTGAGATTTTATTTTAGGTCGTCCGCAACCCCACGACCGTTACTCGTGCGGCAAAATAGAAGTTGCGCTCGTTCGAAGGTTAATAATTTGATTAAGAAGATATAGCAATCCTATTGTACCTCTTCCTGTGACGCGTAGTTGTCGTCGTTCGTGTCGAAGGACCAATAGGAATGATCGAATGTGAAGTCTTTGTACTTCTCCCTGTCGATTTCTCTACAGCTACCCGGTGTCTGAAAAAACAATAAGACAAACTTTATCGAGATACCTTGTCCCGTTAATGTACAATACTTTGTTGTAAGTTCGATCATAATCATTGAACGATGATAAAGAATGTATTATATCAAAGCATTAATATATTTATTAGAGAGATATACAGGGTGTCCAAAAATGTCTCGCAATCCGAAAGTGGCGGGTTCCTTCACAAAAATGTTCTCCGAGGCACCGTTAACGAGTTATCAACGAAAAACAGTGACCAATGAGAGGCAAGCTCGGCTGGCGCGAGGCGACCGAGCCAATGAGCGGAACTGGGCTTCGCGCGCCGGTTGGCTGGGCCGCCTCGCGTCAGCCGTACTTGATTCTTATTGGTCGCTGCTTTTTCGTTGATAACTCGTTAACGGTGCCTCGGAGAACATTTTTGTAAAGGAAGAAGTTGCTTCAAACGATCCGAGGAACCCGCCATTTTCGGAACACCCTGTATAGCATAGCGATTAGCAGGTTTGAATCAAGAATTGTGCATCGACCGTTCGCATAAAATGCGACTAGGATAGATATGATACATCAATCCTAATATTATTCTTGGAATCGATTGTCCGATTCGACGAAAGAAATCTCATTGTCAGTGGCGGTCAGTGGCGGCGACAGNTCCTTCACAAAAATGTTCTCCGAGGCACCGTTAACGAGTTATCAACGAAAAACAGTGACCAATGAGAGGCAAGCTCGGCTGGCGCGAGGCGACCGAGCCAATGAGCGGAACTGGGCTTCGCGCGCCGGTTGGCTGGGCCGCCTCGCGTCAGCCGTACTTGATTCTTATTGGTCGCTGCTTTTTCGTTGATAACTCGTTAACGGTGCCTCGGAGAACATTTTTGTAAAGGAAGAAGTTGCTTCAAACGATCCGAGGAACCCGCCATTTTCGGAACACCCTGTATAGCATAGCGATTAGCAGGTTTGAATCAAGAATTGTGCATCGACCGTTCGCATAAAATGCGACTAGGATAGATATGATACATCAATCCTAATATTATTCTTGGAATCGATTGTCCGATTCGACGAAAGAAATCTCATTGTCAGTGGCGGTCAGTGGCGGCGACAGAAGGAAGCGCTGGCCGTTCGTAAGCGACCAGGCGAATTACGGCCGTTATGTCACGTGCATTCGTTAGGCTACATCCCACATAGCTAATCGCGCACTATCGGGAGCCAGGCCGCGATGTATTACGCAACAAAGCGAACGGCCAATTAAAAAGTAAAACTCCTTATGTTTGCCCATCATGCAACCCACAATAAGCGCGAGAGCTAAGGTGAGGATCATTATCGTTCGAGAGCTGCGTTCAGTGTGCTCAATGCAGCAAGAAAATTCGAGGTTCTCAATGGAATGTTTCTCTACGTGCCCGAGTCATGCCACTTGATTCCACGAAATCGTCGGTCAAGCTTCGTCCGTTTGCCTTCGTTTTCGCTAGCTTTCTTTCGACAACAAATTGAAAACACGCAATTTCCAGTATTCGAAACAAGAAAAGAACAGATTTTTAACGCAAAACAGAAATCTCGTTGGACGGCCCGTGAACACTGAGCGAGGTTAGAAACATATTTTAATCGATTTTAGCCGATAAACAAAGTTTCTCCCTAATTTTTCAAATATTAATTTGATACACGATCGTCTGTTTTCAGGCTGTGCGTCGAGTTCGAACGGTTTAATTGTTTAACCTTTGGTTGCACCTGCGCGTGCGCGTACTTGGAAACGTATTAATGAATATAAATATAAGTATGTAATATATATATAATATATATATATTATATTATTATATATATATATATATATATATATATATATATAAATATAAATATAAATTAATATATATATAATATATATAAATAAATATAAAAATATTAATTCATACAAGTTTCCAAATAAAATTATATTGTATTAAAATTATTAATATATATTATTATTAATTATATAATATATATATTATATAAAAATATTAATCGTTATTATTACAGAAAATAACATTCTGTCCAGCTCTTCTTTCTCGAAACGTGCTCATGGAAACGGGGATTTACATACAAATATTCCAGTAATTACGTGGCAGAGGTTATTCTATAAAGAACGGCATTATCCGAAGAATCGTATATTTCTGCAGACCGATTTCGAAGTGAATAAACGAGAAACGCGTAGAACGCCGATTTCTTATTATATCGTTGAGTCACTCGAGAAGGGGAAAGGTGACTCAGTTAGCGCTAAGCCAAATAGAAACAGAATTTCTATCAGGGTTATGTGCAAATAGATCGAACACGCTGGTGAACAATTGTTTATTTTTTTATTTATTTATTTCAGCTCGGCGGGCCACGCTCGACCTGTTGTTCCATCTCTATTCTATTTGAACGAAACGTGCGTCAGCGACGATACGATTGGTCAAGCGCGGCGCAACGGAAAGCGACCGGCCCGCGATTGGTCCAGAAAACGATTTTCGCACTTTCTCCGATCTGACGACGTGCCCGTTCGCCTATCTCGACAGCGAGATCTCGGTCAGAGATTTCTCGCTTGACAAGCGTGGATATCAATGACGTAACGCGAAACAACAAATAAACTCAGCTGGATGAAGATTCAGGCAGTTCACGGGCAACGATGTTGCACTCCGGATGCTGTTTTAATCGGTCAACAGCCGTCGTTATGTATGATCAGGATTTAATGACACAGTTATCGGTGTATCGTGGCGGCCAGTGAAACATTATTTCATATATATAGTAAACAGTGTGCATATGTTTCGCATAGTAAACAGTGTCCCTTTACGAAAGTAAAGGGAACGCTTTACTCGCCGCAATGAATTTTCTGATGCACGTACATATTTGGAAACAGTATTTTATATTCAAAGGATTTTTAAAATAATGGAAATTCATTTTGGAATAATGTTGTCGTTGAAAGCGCGTTGAATGCGCGTACGCGTTTGTAAACAATTGCACTTCGAGACAAAATAAGCTGGCCGCTTTTTAAAATGTTACTTCGTTATTAAAAAATATATATACTTATATATAATATATATGTGAAAGTTATTATATTATAATATATAATATAAATACTTATATATAATGTATACGTTATATATTAGAATATAAAATATAAATACTTATGTACAATATATACGTTATATATTATAATATATAATATAAAAGTTTCTAGCATCTTGTACAGCGTTTGTCACTTTTCAGAGGGAATCATCGTCTGCTCGGCGTAGAAGGCAGAGGTCGACGGCCAAATTTTCGAGTGAACGAAACAATAACAAAACGTAAAGGAAACAGAAAAAGAAAGAAAAAGGACGGTTCTACCGCAGTAGAAATTTTTTTAGAAAGTTCGCTCGTGATCGTTAAGGACGAAGCTCGGGATTGGCAGGAGTCGCTTCGTCGCGGACGGTGCGCCAAGTGTGTATATACATGCTGCATTACAAAGGAAGCGTTTAACCTTAATAAAGCAACGGTGTCGCGCAGAGAGAGAGATAGAGAGAGAGTATCCGAAACGATGCGGTTTGGAACGGTGGCACGGTACCTTGGTGTTGAAAATTCGTGTCTTCTTGCCGTCCATTTGCACGATCATCTTCGCGTTCATCGCCAGTTCCCTGCAATACAAATCGGAACAGGTTCACGCACTTCGCATTTTCGACGAGACGATTTTTCGTTCGGCCGTAAATCATCGTGAAAAATAAAGGCGGCGACGGCGACGGCGGCGGCTCGATCGAGAAAAGGGTGGAACAAGGAGAAACATATTAAAACGCGGGGTCGAATGACAGCAGGTGGCAGAATCTCGTCGCACGGTTGTCACGTCGCACTTAGGGGTCGATTGAAGAGAAGCATACGATTGATCGTACGGCCAAATTTGGCTTTGTCCGGACGATCCGGAAGCGGCGATCGCGTTGAATAATAATCAGAACCGTTTCGCGGACACTGTCACGAGAATTAATTTTTCGCATCGGGCCTGGACGGGACCGTCCAACCGGGATCGACGAAATCCATTGTCGTACACGGCCCGAAAATATTATTGCTCCGAATCGAACTTTCGTGTCCGTGCCGCCGCACGTTGATAAAAAAAACATTCGAGGATGCTCGATTACGTTGACACACGCACCTTTTGTTAAAGGGTCGAACCCTCACGGCTACCTTCACCGAAGCCATGGCTACGGGGAGCGCATGGACTGCTCAGGGAACGGCACACCGTGTATATTTCTCACACTGAACTTCTCGGCTTTCGGCTCGCGTTACGCGAATACCAGGTACGTCGCGACGCTGCGCGGGCAAGGCATCGTCGACGGTCGCCGCCGTGCTACGAAACGTCGTCGTCGTCGTCGCGGTTCACACACGACGACCACCATCGTCCTTAACACGCTCTCGACAGACGGACGACTGCTGGCGAGCCGCCGTCCGAGACAAAAAATTGCGTGTCCGCGCATGCGCGTACGCGCGCGAATCCCCTAATTTCAAGTGATCAGCACATTTGCTCGTTGCTCGTGACGGCGCGGCGAGCGGAAAACGCGCGGACGGCAAAAGAAAAAAACGCCGCCGGCGAGCGGAAAGAAGCTAGCGAGAGAAAGGGAGAGACGAAACCAGAGCTGGGTAACATTACAAGAAAAAATGCTCCAAATGCTATGTTAAATATTAGACACCATCTCCTGTGGTTGCAAGATCGAACAACGTAAGCCATACGTTTCTGCTCGAACGATACAATCCGCTATTGTATGGTAGAATTTCTTTCTTTTATGTACCGTAAACTATAGTTTATTTGAAGAAACTTTGTTCAGCGTCGTAATTATAATAAATAATAATTAATATAAAAAACGGCACGATAAGCAGTAATAATAAACAGCAATAATAAACGGTACAAATAATATTAATATAACAAAACTATACAGCAAAATTGAATGGTATGGGAGAAGGTATATATATATATATACCTTCGAATACCTTCTCCCATATATATATATTGAAATGGTTAATATTGTATCTGTAATATTAATAACGATAGTAAGGCGGGTTAAAAACTGTCCCATCTTTTGCTTAGCTATTTATGTATAGCGTGACATATTTTAACCCGCCTGAAAAAATTGTTGTTACTCATAGTTATACAGTTTAACATCTTATTTAAAATTTGTCATTCGGTTGGTAATTTTTCTATATAAAATAGCTGTAAACAAATAGCTATAAATAACAACACTGTGCATACAGAAAGCACAAATTATTTTTCATAATTAAAATTGCTATGGTTCTATGCAGTGTCTATACAATATCGTCGCGGCGTAAAAATTGCTTTTCATGCATTTCCTTTGAAAAAGTAAAAAAACTGTCTTCCTGACCCGGGGGGGGGGGTCGAGAAGTAAACAGAAATCGTCTAAAAATGTAATTCAGCTTGTTTTGCCTTTCGACCGCAAGCCTGGCGCAGGTAAAATAATATTTGAGATGTGACGCAAACGTTCGGTAAACACGTATTACGAAGTGTTCTAATTGCAAATAGGATATTTTATATTCGGAGATATGCGTAGTTGATACGTATTTAAACAGGTTAAACTCACTGTTTACCATTTCGAATATTATTTTACTCGGCGTCGGATGAAATAGACGAGAGATAGGACAGAACGAATCGGACACGGGAACTACGGGGGAAAAAAAGGAAGGAGACGGTCGAACAGGTTTTATATTCCCCTTCTACGGTGTGTGACGTCACCAGACGATTGGTCGGTGGTAAAGCAGCGGCGGAGAGTGAACGGAGAGATGGCGAGCCGCCCACGCAGCAAACCGACAGAGCTAAATCAAACGCTTTGCGGTTTCTCTAGCGCGTAACGGCGGTTGTACGGGGAATTCGTGTCGTTTTGTTATCCAGCTGGAGAGATTACGCATCGTCGGCGGCCACGGATCCAGGACAACAGTGTAGAATCCCATGTGACCACCTGCCTCTACCGTGTCTCTCGTAAACAGAGAATAATGGTCATAGACGGCGCTAAGCTCGTCACACCGGCGCTGACGTCGTATAACGCGCGTACGTCGTGCATCAGGCAGGTCAACGACACACGTTTCAACGTTTTTTGGCATAAACGGAGGGATGTTTTGCTGTATCCTGCGCGGTTCGTTCTGTCTCCGCAGGCCTCCTACGATTTAACTATCCGCCAGGAACGGGTTCAGCAACTCTCTCGCGAGCCTGCGCGTAATTTGTCTCTTGGAACTAAACCGGCAAGGTCCGCGGCCAACGGCATAAACACACTGGCTTGGCTCCCCACCTTGGCGCGACTCTCTCGCTGTCTGCGCTAAATTCAGCGCCTGTTGCACTTCTACACGAACTTACGTGGGCGACCATTGATACTTTTCGCTAGTCCGGCGTAAATAAAACGGCGTCCCGATTTTAACATTAATGGAAAGGCCACCAACGTTTCTGAAAATAAATTCTGATTTTAGCTTTTAGGAGTATCGTAGAGTACGTGCTGTACAACCGTGGCACGTACATGATTCCTTTCAGAAGGCCAGGGACGTACGATATCTAATAAATATTTGATTCGCTGCTGCGTCAGCCACCGACGATACTTCTTCCCTGGTCACCGATATTTGCTCCGCGATTACTTGTCCTCGCGGAACTACTATCTATTTTGAAGATAAAACAGGTATAATCAACGCGGTTCGATTATATTATTTATAATTATAATTATATATATATTATATTATATAATAATTATAATTATTTATGATTATAACCGTTATTAAATTATACCGTTATATACATGCGAGGCTGCAATTTTCTGGAACATAGAAACAGAGACACTTCGCGGTGAATATGTTAATGGAAGATTTTACTCTATATCGGAGAATATACCGTTAATACTCTGCCGTTCTAATGAAGAACTGTTAATTGAATTCTGTGGTGATAATTACAAAACCGGCACTTGATATCGAGGACTGCGGGCGGTCGTAGTATGAGAGCCTTGAAAAGCCGTGTTATACGATATGCTCGGTGCATAGTGAATCATAGCCGATTGGACTGTGACGTAACGCCGGCACCTATAACGTAAAAGACCACGGTGAAGAGAAAAAACGTGTCAAACTTTGCTTCTGTTTAGGAAGGAACTTCCTGCGGGTCCAAGTATGGTCGTACGATCGTCGGTTACTATACCAAAGTTCGCGTGTTAATTTTATTCAAGCGGCCGATCACGTTCGCAAGAAATGGAAAACGGATGATGAATCGAGGCGTGAGACCGAATTCTGCATACGTCGTAATATCTGAATGAAAGAATGATAAATATAATTATAATATAAAATAAATTAAATGATAATATAATTTATTTAACCGAGGTCCAATTTAAGGTCGAACTTTAAGTGCATATTGTATATTCTATTTCTTGATTCATCCTGATTAACCATGAAACTAGTAAGAGAAAGCCTTTGTTTACATTTCTGCGGGTTAGCATATTTTAGCAAACACCAATGTTTGTGTTTACGTCGATTTCGTCGAACAGATATAAACAAGTACAATAGTTAACAGTTTTTTTTACCCATTGCATGATTCCATTAGGTTTTCATTGAAATCGCATGTCTCCGATATTCGTCGACAGCTGATTGCGGCATAAAAAATGACGACCGGTCACAGGACAGTGAGAGAATGATGCGATCAGAGTCCATGTTACACGAGGTCGTGTAAAAATCCTGGCGGTGTCAAGCGACGGACTTCGCTATCGGTTACAATTTCACAATTGTACATGCTTGAATTATCTTCGTCCATAATTCCTTCGTTATCAGCTACTGTGAGCCTATTTCGCGAATAAACTAAAAACGGTAGCACTTGTAATTAATTTTGTCCGACTAAAAAGATCCTTAAAATAGTTGACGAATATCGTATACAAATAAACGTCGTATTAAAAAGGAATGAAAATATTTAAATAACTTTTGCACTATTAACTACCGATTTATTAATACCTCCAGAAGATTTGCCGGTGAGAATAGATCGTATTCCGCGCAGTGCGCAGGCGCAGTAGTCGTCCAACTCGGTTGATAACTTCAAGGAGTCTCCCCCGACGAAGTTTTTCAGCGAGCGCCGCACATCGCGAACAAAAATATTATTTTAATTCCAAGCCTGTACAAATTAATAGACATAATATTATTAACAATCGTTGCTAAGATTAATGACGGTGCACTAAGAGAAGATTGCTACCTCGAGAAATGTCTGCGATTCAAGATTGGTTAAATACGAAATATCGAGTTCCTCAAGGAAGCCGCAACCCTGGACACAATCACAAATATCTTAAGCACGCGAAACAGCAACATAGCCCCCTATAAAGAAAAGTTTCAATTTCAAAGAAATGTAAAGCAAAAAGCAAGCGATAAAATCGAAGCAAAATGCCCGGTCCCGGGGACACGAAACGGAAACGGAACGCTTCGCGACGCCACCGCTCGCAAAGATTTAGTTGGTGCTGGCGCGCCGCTCCTCCGCGATAAACCACTGGCGACCGTAGCGCCGCGGCCGGTAAGGCAGTCGCGGCGCGGCCGATCGTTAAAACAGAGCCGCCGGGGAGGGGAAGCGACAAGGCAACATGGTGGCGCAGGTAGTCAAGGATTAGTTCATTTGAAAAGCGAAGCTGTGGCAGAGCATCAGTCGGGTGGCAACTGTCGAGCATGTGCGTGCTTCCTCGTGTTCCTTGAGTCGCGTTCTCGAGAGTCCGGGTACCGTTTCGGCGCAGAAATTGCATGTACACCCCCCCGGTACGTGAACGAACGTTCGACAGTTCGCGAACATGTGATTTAAACGGTGGCGAGAGTCCGTCAACGCCGAGAAAGAAAACGTGCGTGAAAAGTGAAGGTTGTTCCCCTGGCCGGATATATCGTTACCCCGGCAGCAGCCTCGTTCGAGGGGGTGGAGAATAATGTTCTGAGCCGTGTGCCACGCACATCATGGTTGCTAAGCACTTCACGCAGGGTAAGTTCCCTAACTGTTCTCCGGCCGGATAGATGCTTTTAACTGTGTCGACGTTTCGCGATCTCTCTTCTTGCCCCTCGCGTGTGTCCGGCGAAAACGTAAAAAGGGTACGTTTCCACGTAATTGACCATAGTGTGCGCACCTATCACCATGGTGGTACTACGGTGGGTGGTGCGGACTGGACGTGTAACAGCGAGAACAACAGGACCTCGCCGGACGTCGCCTTGTTATTATTGTTATCGTAACAGGGAGGGAGGGGGGTTTAGGGTACGCTCTGTCCGCGAAAGGTCAATAACAAACGGCGTGTTTCTTTTCGACCACTTGTTCCGTTGATTTTTTTTCAGAGCGAATAATAAAACGACGGATTTTCTTGCGCTTTGTTTCACGGCCGTGCAATGGACGGTGCGGTGCGGTGCGCGGCGCAGCGCACGAAAAATTTCGTCGGTATTTTGGTCAGGCGTCGAAAAGAAAGCTTGTCGGCTGGGTGGAGTAGCATTGACCGATTGTTCCCGGATAAGAGAGCTTGCGTGAGAGCCCGATGTCAAGTTCGTGGGTGGCTTTTTCAAACGTTCGATGTTGCCGATCGATCGATTCCGTGCGTAATCTTGCTCTCGCGTGCGATATAATAATAATAATAATAATAATAGTAGTAGTATGAATATATATATATAGCTGCATCCCAATTCTATTGGCCGTGATTTTTCGAATCGAATTGTTTGGAAAAATAAATTTCCTTCGTAGCAAAAAAATTCTCTGAAAATCTGTTTACCCTGAGGAACCAGCGAAAGGGTTGTAATTGCGTTATATAGCAATGTATATATATATAAAATTGTATAAAATTCTGTAAATGTATAAAATTCGTGGTTCGGTGAACAAAGGGTGGGAAAACAATTTGCTCGCATTTCTCGACCCCCTTTCATTTGCATCGCGACATCTGGTGGCACTTGAACACGCGATAAACTTCGATGTAATTAGGGCTGCGCTTAAATGGCCAGGGCAACAACACGCGTTAAAGATGTAAATATCATTAATAAATGCTCGAAGAATTCGCGATTAACGAAGCGGCCGTTCGTTCGATGTGGTATGCGGGGATTCTTCCGCTCTGAATACATCAACCCTTCCTCCTTCTATACGTATGCATATATATATGTATGTATATATATATATATATATATATATATATATATATATATATATATATATATA